ACATGTGCCGTGTTGTCGATTTGTTTTTTGTTTTTTTTGCTACTGATCCCCACATGTTCTGGAGATTAACGCTTCCAAATTATGGTGAAGTAACTTGCCGACAACGAGGAGGAAGCGAAAACAACAGGCGTTTTTGAGAAACCAGAAGTCGAAACTTCTCCATAGTTGCTTCCCTCTTAGTAACGGTGGTATTCAGAAGCAGCCCGAGTGGTAGCAAATGCCGACAGCAACGATCGCGGGTGCAGCCTTTGATATGCTTTTCTTTCGGCGATTACTTAGGGGCAAGCTGACGGGGGATTTGCCTTCTAGGATTGTTCAGGCAACGGCCATCATCGAAACGAACCAAAGAATCATGGAAGGATTAGTTGTCTCACTGATGGAATCGAACTGTTGACCCCTCACTCACGACAACAACACTACTTCTCGCTGTGCCATGCAAAAATGAGATTTTTTGCAGAAAGATCGAGACGCCGACAGACTTGTTATGTTAAATAATGATGGCGAAACCGTGGATTTCACAAGTCAGAAGCAGTCGCCCGGTTTGTTTATATGCTTTTTCGACTTTATGCATTATTTAGAGACATACATCTGAAATTCAAGAATATGTACTTTAGACCATTGCTTCTTGCGCGTTTCATTTTGGCGGTTTTTTAGATTTTACGTGAAAGGATTGCACGATATTCTAGTTTTTTTACATCTCAGTTCCCCTTTTTTTTTTATTATTTTAGGTGTTTTAGCCGAAGCTTCTACTTTTTTTGAACGTATCAGGAATGTTTGCTTTTAGCAACCTATGATATCACGGACGATGATATCGAGAAAATGTCATACACGACGGCTTCGTCTTCGCCAGTTGTTCCATCGGCAGGTGATGAGTTTACGAAGGAAAAAATAGATGATAGGTGAGTGCATTTCTTCATAAATCTTTCCGGGCTGTATCCTTCTGATTTTTATTGTTTAAATGTCCGTAAATTAAGTTAGTATAACGAGGTTAACCTTACTGTTAGCCTCCCTGTGATCTTTAACATCACGTAAATGTTGATAACAAAATAAGTGCTGCACTTGCTACTATACTGATTTAAGGATAAGCAAAAATGCGACTAGAAAAAGTAAAAAGAAGTAATAATGTAAATGAAAGCTGATAGCTGGAATCTCGAAAGAAGGCAATTAGCGCTCTTTTATGATCAGAATAGTGCTCCTTTTCGAAAAGAATTGTTTTGACTTTAACTTTAGTTGATTCTTTTGGCTTGACGAGCTTTTAAATGCCGCGCTTTGCTTCGTTCTCTATTTCGAAATATTAGCTTGAAGGTCGCGGTACATTGAGATTGGTATGTTGGCCTTAAAACGCGAATTTTCAAGCATGCAGTTTGCATTTTACGAATTTGAAGCACTAACCAGAATTCCTGACGCGCTAAAAAATGAAGGGCCGTTAAGTTTGCATTATGCAATGCATAAAATTTATAAATATTCTAATTTCCTGGCTTCTTTTGTGCGTCACAATATTACTTGGGTTTTGATTATTTATAAAAGGCCAGGGCAAAAATGAAAGAAGAGTCTGAAAGCTGATTTCACATTTCTGGCGATCTGCATATCTGGCGCTGGCGAAAATAGCTTAGTGGTAGCTAGCACTGCTCTTGTGCTTGACATCGAAGACCTGATAATAGGACAAACGATTTTTTTATATTCGATCATTCATTTTCATAAGATTTGTGCATGTCAGGAATTCAAGCCAATTCTAAGATTTTCTTTTATCGACCATCGAAAAAGACTTTTGGCATGTGCTTTCGAGTGCCTAAGAGTGAATACGGGATTGATTTCAAGTTTTTAGATATCAGGGCTCCTGTTTTCAAAATCTTTTGGAATTCAGTCAGTTTTTGCAATTTCTAAGTCAAAATTATTTATCCAAATACGTCCGAACATGTGTTCTGGTTGTAGTACGTTTTGCTTTTTGCGGAAAATCGTAAAAAGTTGTTTCCAGTAAAGAGGCCGAAAAAACGGAAACAGAAAAGAAGGCTGATGAATTGTATCGTTCTGCGATGCGCTTTCTGGATAAAGGACGCTCTTCGTCAACTGAAGCCAAAAAAGCCGCCTACAGACTTCTGGACGAGGCTGCTCAGCTCAAGCATAAAGAAGCAATGAAATTAACCGGTATGCTTTTTCAGCTTTTTACATCGTAACTGAATTATGAACTGTTTTTGTACATTTATATCCCCGAAGCTTTACCAGTGTGATGTGCTGATTCCTTAAAAATGTCAAACCAGAAGGGCAGCAAGGCCCACTTATTTACTTAACGCACAATGGGAATGATAAAATCGTTGTTTTTGCAGCATACGCATATTTGTTTGGTGATTATACGCGATGGAACATTGATGAAGCACGAGCAATCTTCGAAGAGCTGGCAACGGGGGGCTCAGCTGATGCGCAGCTGGCGCTTGGCTTCATGCATGCCACTGGTCTCGGAGTTCCAGAATCTTCTCAGGCAAAAGCACTTATTTACTATACATTTTCTGCGTTGGGCGGAAATCCACTGGCTCAGATGGCGCTAGTATGTTTTGCAGTTTCTCGAAATACCTTTAATATTCCTTGTCTGGAATTATCACGATTATATTTGCGCTTCCCTACCGCTTCATATATACAGAAAAATACGTGCTCGCTTCCCTCGTTTAATGACTACATAGCCTATTGTTGTCCTTTGTAGAAAATTAATTATTTTATTTTTATGCTGGCACAGCTGCGCTTTGCATATGTGAGCATCCTAGTAACTTCACTAACATAATGACTTCACCGATAGCCAAAGCAGTTTTGGTATTTCTAGTATTTTTATGCGTTGCCTTCGAACAGTTTTGTGCGAATGAGCTCTGCACCATCTGTGAACCCTGTCAAAGAGTGGCTGAAAGAAGACATTTTTTCTTCAGCAGAAATAGA